CTCTCTCTCTCTCTCTCTCTCTCTCTCTCTCTCTCTCTCTCTCTCTCTCTCGTCTTTTTTTTTCGTCCTTGCTGCTTTTTAGCACTTTTGTGCTGGTATGTGCTTGTTGTCAGTCATAACAAAAATCAGCCCCCTCTTCTCCCTGTAAATCCTTTACTTTTGCCCTCGTGAGAAAAATATCTCGTAACACTGAGACCCTGGCACAAAAGGTAAAAGTGCTCATTTTGTTTTTGGTTCGTAAATATTCAGCGCATAGGAAAAACAAATATTCGTATTATTGCTACTGTTCAACCCCCTCCCCCTATCCCCGAAAAAAGCATGCACTCCCGCCCCCCCTCACCTCCATCACAAACGGATATACCCCCCTCCCAACCGGTCGGAAGAACCGAACCCATGTCCACTGCCTGCAAGACGAGAACCAAACCATGAAACTGACAAGGCCAACTCCATCCTTCCAAATGACCCAAATCTGGACAACTATGTCGTCGTAAATCGAGACAAAAACTAAGGGAACGCCAGCACATAATAATAATATTTTGATTCATGCATGTGCCCAGCGCACATTTACATTCATGCGCGTGTCCAGCACACATTAACATTCATGCACGTGTAGTAAAACGCCAAACTAACACCTTCCTGGACTAATGAATTATTCATCTGCTACGAGGATACACGAATTTTGCATGCATCTACTCCCGAGACTACACGAATTATACATCTCGGTATGTAACACACACCCCTCTTTGGCATCGAGTTACACACATTTTAGGTAATAGAACAACATCATTCATGACCTGCTTACCACATCAATATAATATATCGCGGGGTAGCATCACTACTATCGTAACTCGTGCTTTTCAAATTTTACAGGAGAAGCAAAGCACAGATTTTTCACCACACTATAACCATCAACAGTACCTGGAATTTCAATTGAAGTTAATTCTGTGCAAAATAATCGACTGAATCCGAGGTGGGGGGTGGGGAGGACAACAGGGCATGTGCCCATTCCCAAAGCTCTGGAATATGTCAAAAAGTTATTTCTGACAAAACCACGAGCTGCGATACTAATTGAGCTGCTACCTTGCGACGTATCGTGTGATCAAGTCACGGATGTGTTGTTTTATCATCGTGTGTAGGTCACGGGTGTGTTGTTTAATTATTGTGTGATCAGGTGAGTTGTTTCATTATCGTATGATCAGGTGTGTTTCTCCATTATCGTGTCTAAGTCACGCGTGTGTTGTTTCATTATCGTGCGAACCGATGTGTTGCTCCATTCTCGTGTGTAAGTCACGAGCGTGTTGTTTCATTATCGTGCGAACCGGTGTGTTGCTCCATCATCGTGTGTAGATCATATGTGTATTGTTCTATTATCGTGTGTAGGTCTCGGGTGTGTTGTTCTATTACATGTATCTTTTTATCAGACACCCTCTAAGGTAAATCAACCCGTCTACTGTGATACCCTCTAGTGGTAGCCACACCTTCCATGTATGGTGTACCCTCTATTGGTAAGTCACACCTTCCATACATGGTGTACCCTCTAGTGGTAGCCACACCTTCCATGCATGGTGTACCCTCTAGTGGTAAGCCACACCTTCCATGTATGGTGTACCCTTTAGTGGTAGCCACACCTTCCATGTATGGTGTACCCTCAAATGGTAAATCACATCTTCCGCTGTGTACAAAAACATGCGAGGACTGTGAACTTTGTCCGACCCGCCACACCGACTCGACAAGTCCAGCCAACAACGTAGACAGACAGGATTTAGTGACACGTGCCGTTGTGTTCTGTTGGCGACTTAAGTTTGTGACATTGTGACAAGTGATTTGGGAATCAGAAGAAAAGTAATTACGGGCACATCAAAGAGAGCAACATTTATACATCCTCTTACACACACACATGCATTCTCTCTCTCCACGTATATATTATTATACCCATAAATTCATAAGATGCACACACAAATACAAACATGCCAACTGTCCTAGTCTTTAAAAAAAAAATCTTTCTTTCTTTCTCTCTCTCTCTCTCTCTCTCACACACACACAAACACACACACTCACACACACACACACACACACACACACACACACACACACACACACACACACATACCTACACACGCACACATATTTACGCACAACTTTGTTACAACAACTAAAAAGAGAGGGCACTTTGTCTCATCGAGGTTCGACATTTCTGCATTCTCAAGGGAAAAAAATGAAACGGACTGGGCGTGCGGGAAAAGAAAGAAAAAATCGTGGCATGCTGAGTTGTGAGAGGAATTGGTCAAACAAAATCAGTGAATTGGTGAGCCAGGCTGATGCAGAAAAGAGTTGTCTCCAGTTGGAAGAATGTTAGCGACTCTTTCTCCGTGATGGAAGAAAGCAGGCGGAGGAGAAAAAAATGAAGATCTTGGGGGTGGAAAAAGGCGAAAGTCTTGGGGGGGGGGGGAACATGGCGAAGGGTTGAAGAAAAATTATGACGGGTGAGCGTGTTGGTAGGTGTGAAGAGGCGTGAGAACGGTGGGGGTGAAAAAAAAACTGAAGGGAGAGAGAGAGAGTTGAGATTCTAGGAAGCATCTAGCTGTAGTACTGGCCTTAGAGCTAGGGGGATCAGGGGTCAGGGGTCAGTACCTGTGTCGGCGCTGGTGGTCGAGATAAGCGACACGGGCCTCTGCTTGCGGCCGGCCGTGTGGTCACGTGACTCATCGTTCATGTCCTCGTCGCCCGTGTCTTCAGATCCTGCCCGCGGGAGATCCGACGAACTTTTCTCCAGCACCGTGACATCATCAAATCCCAGAGAGCGGTCTGTGTCCAAAGACTCGTCGGGCACCTCGTCGGAGAGCGAGGTGTCCGAGCCAGGACTATGGAAGTCCTTGACCTTGCTCCTCTCCCCAGCGTGCACTATGCTCAGACCTGAGGTCACCTCGTCCACTAAGAGCGTCCGGTCCTGTATGGCGCTCACCTCCTCCACGGACACAACAGAGGCCGGTGACGTGGAGTTCCCGTCATCTATCGAGTCTTTCCGCTCTCGCTCGAGCTCGTCCCGCACGTCCATCACCCTGGCTCCCCTCCGGCTCACGAACCCCCCGGCCGCTCCCTCCCCATCCTCCCCCTCGTACTCCTCCTCCTCTCCCGGATCCCGGTCCTCGTCACCCGGCAAGTCTTTCTCCTCCACAGAGCCCGGCGTGTCGGGAACAAACTCAGCGGCCAGAGTCTCCTGTGACGAGTCGGAGCTGACGGCTCGCGTGGTGCGGAGCGAGGAGGCGTCATCCTCCCGGGAACACTCGTCCGACGAATTTCCGCAGACCGTGGAGGAGGAGGACTTGGTGGTGCTGTAGTCAGAGATACCAGAGTCCGTCATGAGCGTCTTGGCGTCCTTGCCAAAGATGGGGAAGTCCTCGAGGCTGTCGATGTTCTCAAACTCGTTGTCCGGCGCCTCAAACTGCGAGTCCGAGTCCTCCATGGACGGCATCTCGGCCTCGCCCAGACCGTCGCTGTTGTCCGAACCGTCCCTCAGCACGTCGCTCAGAGACTCGGAGGTGCCTGTGCTGGCGGAAGTGGTCATCGTGTTGTCCTGCCGGCTCAGCGGGTTCTTGCCGTCAAAATCTTGGTCGTAGTCCCACTCCAAGGCTTGCGACACCTCGGGCGACGGCCCGCTGGAAGAGTCGTCCATGGTGTCTCCCTTCTTTTCCCCGGACGAGTCCGTCTTGGGGTCCGTCCCGCTAGAAGACGAGTCTCCGCTGCCCGGGGGCTCGCCATTCACCGAGCTTCCCGTCGACACCTTCCTGCTCTTCCGCGAGGGCGATGACGTCACCGAGTCCGACTTGGCGATAGTGTAGCTCTGCGAGGTGCATACGGTATAGCTAGAGTCTTTCCTACAAGGGATCTCTTCCACCAGCTCGTGACTAGCTAGGGTATAGCTCCGCGACGCGCCTACGTCCGCCTCATGCCGCGGCGGGGCGCCTTTGTAGCTCTCACACTTGCGACTATCAAGCTTTCGGGAGGGGTTCAAACCAAAACTAGCAGAAGTGCCTTCACCTTTATTACCTTCATTGCCATACCCACCTTCAGACAGCCGCTCGTCCTCCTCATGAGAATCGTACATGGGTGGTGGAGGCGGGTAGCGTTCCGTACCTTCATCCGAGTGGCGGGGGATCAACTCCGGCGGCAGATCGCTGTCGGAGATGGATCTGGTCGCAGACAGACGACGATGTTGATGATGATGGTGATGATGATGACGTTGATGAAGATGACCACTTCCGTCCTCGTCCAGACCAGAGCTATCTTGGCTCATGTCCGAGCTGTGGCTTGTATGCTGGTCTTCGCGGAAGATGGTGTAGCTGTCCGAGGTTCGAACCTCGCCGGATCCGGGACGAGAAGTGACCGGCGTGGAGGTGCGGAGTTGATGAAGCTCGTCCCCCCGCAAGGACCTCCGGCCGCCGTCTGCTACTTCCCGCGGGCTGGTATCGCCAACCACATCCGTCGAAATAATCCCAAGAGAATCGTCTGACACATTTTTCGCGATATATTTAATGAATTTAGGATCCGAATACGGGGGGTAAACCCTGGCCGCGTGCTTCCTGTCCGCGCTCGGATCTCTGGAGTTGGAATCGGACTCGCTGTCCTCTCTGTCGACCGACCGGTTCTGCTCTTCGGGGTCAAAGGTGAAGTTGAGATACTGCCGACTGTCGGCGCGCAGCTGCTTCTTGATGCCCCGGCTCAGAGCGTCCCACACGAAGCTGTCCTCTTCCGAGTCGTCCGACGAGCGGGTGGTGGCGATCCGGAACCGCGGCGAGGCTCGGTCACTCTCCCGGTCCGACTCGGAGGCCGACGAGTGGGTGAAAGTCTTGGCGTGCGCGTCGGCGGGTACTCGGGACTCGTCTCGACCCGGTTCGCCGCGCGGCGGGGCCGGAGGTCCTCTGTACTGCAAGGTCGGCCCCTGCTCGTCGTGCTTGGCGTAGGAGCGAGAGGTGGAGGAGGAAGAGACAGAGGAGGTGGAGGAGAAGGTGGGGAGTTTGGAGGTGGGGGCTGTTGGGATACCCGACGACCGGGTGGCTTTGGGTAGAGCAGACTTGTACCTCTTCTGCGGGGCCTCGGCGAGATCTCGCGAAGCTGCCCGATGGGCGTACTCGGACCCTGAGTCAGCCGACTGGTCAAGGTCTATGACGTCATAGGTGGTGGAGAGCGAGGCGAGTTTGGAGGGTTGGGGCGGGAGGAGACTTCTCTGCCCCCCGACTCCTCGTCTGCTGCCGGCCTCCCTGTTTCCCTGCAGCGCCTCGTGGAAGCTTGACTCCGGGCTGAGCGTGGAGTAGTCGATGGCCTCTAGCTCGCCCTCGGCGTAGTCCTGGAAGGCCTTGTTGCTCCGCTCGCTCAGGCTCTCAGTACTGCTGTAGCTGTTGTCCGAGTCTGACGTCACGCGGCCCAGGGCACAGGCGGAGCTGTCCAGGCACACGCGCTCCTTGGGCGCAAAAATTCCGTGTTTCGGCGAGCAGGAAAAGTATCGATGCCCGTTCACTTCCCCGTCGTGACAGCCATCTGGATCGAAGAGCTCGATACCGCAGAAGATTCCCGGCGCCAGGTGTGTCGTGCCCAGGTATCGCAGGATCCCGGGTTTGACTCCACCGATCTTGATCCGGGCTCCGACGCGCAGACCTTTGCCGAAGACTGGGGCGGAGTTGTCCGGCTTTTTGTCTCGTCGTTTGGAGTCGGCGGAGTGGGAGCGGGGGTCACGGGGGTCACGAGGGTCGCCAGGTTGGGGTGGGGCCAAGGAGGAGGAGGAAGAGGGGTATGCGGATGAGGTAGAGGAGGAGGAGGAGGCGCTGTGGTGGGAGGAGGAGGAGGAGGTGGGCTGTGGTAGACCGGAGAGGGGGTGGGAGGTGGAGGATTGAGGGGAGGTGGGGGAGAGGCCGGAGGATCTCTTGGGGGCGGGGAGGAAGGAGCGCCGCTTCCGGGCGTCCGGCTGGGAACTCTGCGGAGGAGAAATAAAACATAGAGGGAGTCAGTTGTTATTGTTGTTGTTGTTTTTGTTGTTGTTGTTGTAGTTGTAGTTGTTGTTGTTGTTGTTGTTTTTGTTGTTGGTGGTGGTGGTGGTGGTGGTGGTGGTGGGGAGGAAAAATAGAACATAGGGGGAGTCAGTTGTTGTTGTTGGTGGTGGTGGTGTTATTGTTGTTGTTGATGGTGGTGATGCTGCTTCTGCTGCTGTTCATGATGATGGTGGCGGTTTTGCTCTTCATGCTGTGACTTTTGTTATTATTGCTGTTGTTTCTGTTGTTACTATTATTGTTATTGTCGTTGTTGCTATTTTTGTTGGTATTGTTATTATTTTGTTGTTGTTTGTGTAGTTTTGTTTTTTTTTGTTGTTGTCCAGATAATCTAGCATAATTTGTCAAATTCGGTGCAACTCCATGAAAAAATGGGGAGGTGATTCATTGCTTTCTAGCTGTCTTGAAGACAGGGACATGATGTATGAGTTCCTCGGCCTGAGAGATACTTGTTGCTCGGTACAAGTCGCAAATGTCTAACGTCCCAAAAACAGAGTCCCAAAGAGCGGTCACTATTCCATTTGGTTACTTTAAGTAAGCTCTTTACGGCTCTTGCAACACAATAAAGTCATAATGTAAGTGCCGAAGATCAGAGGTCTTACTAGAAAAAGTAACAAAACCAAAAAAAGAGGAGAGATTTGGAAGACAGGGGAAAAAGGAGCAAGCAACACCACAGCATCCGCCAACCATACACAAACTTGAAAAAAAAAACCCAACGATGATTCAATTGTTTCTAATGTATCTATTCATGGAAACTTAATTTCCAATTCGGCTTTCAACTGACATCAATATCATGATTAGAATTTAATGGTAAAAAATAGCGTGGAAGAGCAAACGTGCTTCAATAGTAGATTTAAACACCTTCTAAAAGCAGTGCATTGTCATTTTAAAACATACCCTACCCTTTAAATAATTCAAAATAAAATACTCAGAAGTTAAACAATAAAGTCTCTTAACACATTGTTAAATAATAGTGGAACTATCATTTTTTATGGAAATTCATTTTGGTCAAAAAAGAACATTGTCATTATCAGCCTGTAGCTCATAATGGTCTGTGGCGACTTTTAGTACCTTTCTTTTGGCACACACACACCTTTGTTTGGTTAAGGAGAAAACTTTCCTTGTCTTTTCAAAGAAACTGAACAAGAGGCAAAAACTTTTACCTTCGATTTTTCTCAAAACAACATTTTTCGGGATATCCTCCTTGTGCTTAAAAGTGACCAATTATCCACGTCAATTTTCTCAAAACTAGGTACTTCGTTTAGTTTTAGTAAGAGTTTTACGCCACTTGCAACACAATAAGGTCATATAAGTGCCGAAGAATATATGTGTTACAAGAGAGTAACATACACAAAAAAGACGGAGGAGAGATAAGTGTTATAGATGTTTGATAGGAAAGAAGGAGCAAACCACACCAGAGCACCCGCCAACCACCCACACACTAGGCACCGAGCAGACAGAACTTTGTAATCCTGGGGTAGACACGACCTGTCAAACTCGGAAACAGTGTGTACCCCACATAGCAGCGAGTCCCCGGCTGGCGGAACCGCGGAACCGCTCAAGACCTGGACCAGGCCATGCCCTTCTATCATGTGACATATCGCACCTCATTCACAGAGGACAATTTATCACTCCTTCTGTAATCCCCGTTGACGCGCCAGTGGCAGGTTACGTGCAACTAAAATCATACATTTTATCTTTTACTAAGGTGAAGTAGTAGATGGAACTGATTCTTTAGACTACTTCTTAGTAAGGCGGGAGGGGGGGGGGGTTGTTCCTTTGTTTGTTTTTACGGGGGGGGGGGTATCTGTTTTTTTTTTTTTGGGTTGTTTGATTGGATAAAGAGATGCACACCGACATAATAATGATCTTTTAGTACTGGGAAAAAGTAAGACTGACAGACGGAAACGACAGAGGGAAAGTAATGAAGTAGGACCTACCAGTGGCACCCTCCAACCATCCGCTCTGCAGGGTTTAGCTAGGGCAAATTTGTCTTTTCCAGTTGGTATATTATTGACAGTATCAGATAATCTGAGCTTGTTACTATTTCAAGCCACTTAAACTCTTACACGTCCCAAGTCGTTCCTCTTCTGTTCCTGAGCTCTGAGGCTACGAAACAACATATCATGCCTCGTCTTACTGTAATTTTAGTAAGAGATTTATGGCACTTGCAACACAATTAGGTCATACTGTAAGTGCCATTGATTACAGGACATATTACAACAGACCAACAAACGCAAAAAAGAAGGAAGAGAGATAAGGACAACTGATGTTTGATTGGAAAGAAAGAGCTAACCACACCAGAACACTCGCCAACCACCTGCATGAATCACCCTTCACTGGACAAACGTTAAAACACTCTCTACAGGCGGCCAATCTATTAAAAGATAGCTCGTAGTTAAGACAGTATAATTTAGTTTTGTGTAACCTGCCCACTGGGCACCCGGGTCGGGATCGACTTCCACTCCACAGATCTTATCGGAGAAATGAAATTTGTGTTGGCTGTGAAAACAGGGCGCTCTGATCCCACTTGATACATGCGGAAAGTGCACACGCACATTGCATATGTGATGCATCGTGATGAAATCAGGCGCTCGTTAATCCGAAAAATCGGCATTTTTCGGCCAGTTCACAATTTATTTTCTCGAATTTTTGTTTTTTTATGCCAACACCGTGTATGTCAATTCAAAATCACTTTTGTGTGTGGATTTGATGGGAAAGTGTTGATAAAAGACACAACTAATTTAAATTTGCAGTTTCCAAAGACTCTTAAGCTCTGGCGGCCATTTTCTCGCTAATTTAACGTCTGTATCCACGTCTTTCAATTGCTAATATCTCGACTTCTAATCACAACAAATGGATCCTTTTTTTTATCGAAAGCAAGGCAAATGAACTACTTTTAAGATGATACCAATAACTAATTGACGAGCGCCTTATTCCACTGCATCGTGACACATAATTCTCTTCTCGAGGTCCAACAATACCGGAACCATAAATGCCAATATTAGGCGGGTGCTCTGCTGCTGTGAATTGCTCTTTCTTTCCAACCAAACGTCTATCGTCCTTATCTCTCTTCCCCCTCCTCTTCCGTGTAACACCTGTAATCTTCGGCACTCATGTCGTGAACTAATTGTGTTATAAAAGCCATATAACTATATAACTGTTACTAAAGCTAAAAAAAACAACAACAAAAAACAACCCAAAATTTTTTTTTTAAATAAGACAATAAAGGGGCAGCACAGACAAAGACATTTCTGAATTTCTGACAGCCGGTAAGGAAAAGTTACGCCCGGAATCATCAGCGAAACAAGCAGAGCTCCGCAATGTCTCAACACACTCGCCCACTTTCTTTCACAGGTCACGTCCCCCACCCACCCCCTCCCCC